AACAACAAAGGACGATTTACAAAACTTAAAACGAGCAAAAGATATAAGTGAATTTTGGCTCTTACCGAGGCATTTGTAGAACAGGACCAAATTCAAAGAGAGGTGTATCACGATGATTCACATATTTAACCGATAGAGCGTTCACTTGTATTGACAAGAAGTCGGCGTGTTACTGCCGCATTAACCGCTAAATATGTTAATCGCGCTAGTTCTTTGTTTACTAATGCACGTGCCTTTCACATTTGTCTCAGTTATCGCAATTCATATTCTGTCGCAATTTTCTGTATAATTTTTGACATTAGTTTGTAAGCTTCACCGTTTATTTACGATAGTTTCGCTCGAGAGTTCACAGCAACAGTATCTCAGTCATCATCTACCTTTTGTTCAACCTTGTTTTTAGCCCGCCTTGTAAGCATTTCGCGTTGTTATTTCATTAGTTTCATTACTGTTATTTGCATTCCTTAGTAAAAGAAATGGGACGCCTTGTACCTCCGCAGACTCTGCTGATTATATTACTTTTTTTTAGCCATTTAAATTCAGGCGCGTGTGCGGGGTTTGCTCTGGCAAATGGTGATTGGCTAGGAAGAACAATTGCCTTCTATCAAGTATTTTTCCAGCAGGGGAGGGTGGCTTTAGGCAAATGATGTATCGGTCCCTAGAAAGGTCACCCCAGGACTCCCGGGATGGAATTTTTTTGTACAGTGCCCAGGCCTCATTTTCTTGGCCGCGCGTTGATCTGGCCCGGCTGCTTCGGCGAGCGTATTCTCGGTGTGTTTGGATTATATTCTTCGAGTTTGTCAAAGTCTGTGGGATTCGTTTCTCTATCTGGGAAAGCTTCATTGGTTTCTATATCTGCTGCTATCCTATTTCTACGATCCTGGCATGTTTATTTTCCGTTGGAGTTCGGATTTCGTGGAAAAAGTTGTGTTGAATGAGAGCATGTCGGCGAAAATGGCACCTCGTGTTTCCTACCTTGTATATTATTATTGTAGATAGAGTGAATTTGAACAAATTACTGCAAATTATCACGAAACTTCGTTGGAGAAATAAGGACAACAACAATTAACTGCAGAGTAAGTTTCATTGATCTTTATTTAGTATTTCCTAGAAATTTTAGGATGATATTTTTACCCCATACAAACTCTGTAATTTTACTGGAACCGTACTGTGGTACTATTACAGAGCCTGGGTTACCTGTGAATAATACAAAGCATTTTTTGTGCCCAATCAGGAGCCGGCATCCGCATGAATTTTTGGAAATAGTTTGGTGAGAGTCAGTACCCAGCGGCTCTCTTGCCCGTACTTGAAAACTTTCATCCCACCTTTTCTCCCGCCACGACTGACTGCCCCTGGGTCTCCGAGGATGAAGAAAAGGAGACAAAGCCTCATAAGTTTTTGGATCTGTAAATTTAATTAAAGGCTAGTTAATGGAAGTCATTTCCACAAACGATGGGTCATACTTTTATTTAACAGAAAATATAAATGATTCATAATAACCTTAATTAATTAACAGACAAGTTTTATAGAATTTTAGGATCAACCAGAACAATATAAGATGGCATTATTGCTTGAATTTCTACCTTCACGACACTGTGGTGATAAATGTGTTCCAGGATGGTGACCTTGCTTCCTTGCAATGAAGCTTGTTTGAATAAACGCGTGCTGCATCCAAAGAGAAACCCGGGCGACCGAACCATATGATTGAAAAATACCGTCAGTTTTATAGAAGATAATTATCGCTAAACTTCACACGAAAGTTTGCGACCGGGTACTCTGACGTTGCTACGAAGATATTATTTACGGTATAACTGCGGTGTTGGCAAGCCAATTTCTCTTCATTAAAGGCATTATTTACATCGCGCGACAATGTGCTTTCTTCTCGAGCCGCCATTTTGGAACGAAATCTGCCAGTCGCTATTTTTCCTTCGTCCCTTCCCATGAGACCTCGCGCACGCCTCAACCTAACCCCCACTCTTCTCTCACCCCCAAAACACATAAATAGCGACTGGGTACGAGTCTTATTCCGCATAATTATGTTATTTCGCAAGCCATGTCATATACAATTCTGCAGTCATTCCGCCTTTTACCCTCACCGTTTTTGAAGCAAATGCGGTTTACAGAAAAGAATAATCTAGCGGTTGAATGGTTCATTGCCTCACGATTGGAAAAGAGTCAGAATGTCGAGATTTCACGGTCCTATGACTCGTACAGAAAATTGAGCATTGATTAGAGCTAACAAGCGCAAAACTTTCATTTGACTGCCGTGCTGGTTGCGTGAAAGATAACATTACCTCGCAGTTTCCGTGGTAAGTACGCTGCTTCGTTTTCAGTTACATAATCAATTACTTCTACTTTCAAAAGTATATCTCAGCAGTCGGTTCATTGGTGATTAGGCTAGTGCTCTGAGCTCGTCTTCCACATAGCCATAGGGTAAGTTCGAGTTTTCGCTCCCAGAAGCTCATATGTAAGTTGCGTTTGCCTTTGCGTTTGCTGATGATTCTCGTCAATTCAATTCAATTCAATTTTATACACACTTTTATAAAATATTTACATTATATATAGCAAGGTAGGAATACAGTAATAAAGGAGAAGAAGAAGGAAAAAGAAAGAAAATTAATGGCTTGGGTAGAAGTGTACGGTGGTCAGAGGAGCTTAGCTTTCGAGCTAACCATCGCCATATTATGAGTGGAAATATATAATAAATGAGCGCTTGTGCCACGGACGATTATGTCAGCAGTCATTTTATGCGAAATAGTCAATTTTGACTCCACTACACAGCATCAACAGACAAAACGTAATGGCAAATAAGTTTATTTTGGGACGGCTTGGCGTGAACCAACCCTACAAAGTATTTATGTAAATACAATAATAGGTGAATACTGGTGAATACCTAATGTACAACACTTGTAAACTAGCTTTCACAAAAAGATAAAACTCGTGCGACAAATGGTCGCTCTTGACCTGAATCTCCCATTTAAGCAGGCAGGCTTAGTGCCAGTTAGGCTGCCAGTTATTCTGGGGAAACTAATTAATAAAACTCAGACAACGCATAACTGGCACACGGAACACGGTAGTAGCACAGAGGCTAAACAAAAAGAAAAAACTGCTCACAACTGGTCGATCTCGACCTGAATCCCCCAAATAAGCACACAGGCTTAGCGCCAGTTAGGCTGCCAGTTAGGCTGGGGAAACTAATTAATAAAACTCAGACAACGCATAACTGGCACGAGGAACGCGGTAGGAGCATAGAGGCTAAGCAAAAAGAAAAAACTGCTACAACTGGTCGATCTCGACCTGAATCCCCCAAATAAGCACGCAGGTTTAGTGCCAGTTAGGCTGCCAGTTAGGCTGGGGAAACTAATTAATAAAACTCAGACAACGCATAACCGGCACGAGGAACACGGTAGGAGCACAGAGGCTAAGCAAAAAGAAAAAACTGCCACAACTGGTCGATCTCGACCTGAATCCCCCAAATAAGCACACAGGCTTAGTGCCAGTTAGGCTGCCAGTTAGGCTGGGGAAACTAATTAATAAAACTCAGACAACGTATAACTGGCACGAGGAACACGGTAGGAGCACAGAGGCTAAGCAAAAAGAAAAAACTGCTACAACTGGTCGATCTCGACGTGAATCCCCCAAATAAGCACGCAGGCTTAGTGCCAGTTAGGCTGGGGAAATTTAATAAAACTGTGATCAACGTATAACTGGTACCGGGAACACTTCAGGAGCACAGAGGCTGAGTGCCAGGAAAACTGGGAATTATCTCCACTAATGTACCCAACAAGGCACGTAGCCCAATAACCAGTAAGGCTGCCATAAAAGGCTAGGGCGGGACATTGATGGTAAACAATGAATAACGACCCTGGCTAGAGGTCTGTAACATTGCCTGCAACCTAACTGCGTCAAACGAGACTTACGTCGCCTCCTAAAGAGCGGTTCCGGGACAGCTGAACTAAGCATACATGGAAACTAAATATATCAAGTAAAGGAGCAGGTGCAAAACTGAGATAACTAGTGTACAAGTACATAAAATAAGAAACGGGAAAAAGGCTGAAAACTAGCAGAGCTGAGCTACCGCTTATAAACTGAAGTAAATGCGGTCAGACGGAGGCCAGAAAAAACCTGCCCAAAAAAACCCCGAAGGGAAAAAATGCGGGCAGGAAATCTGGGTAGGAACCAAGGCTCAAGCTCAAAGCCCTTCCTACGGGACTTTACAATGTAATCGAGAATATGTTGCTCCTAAAAATAAATAAAACAAAAATTTAAGAAAAACCAAGGAGAGGTTGGTTCGTAAGCCTAGATGACGAACACGTGATATACGCAGCCTTATATACCCCCGATATGGCTACCCATGGTGCACCCGGCCTAGTACCCAGGCCCTGTTGTATCTCGTGCCGTCAAAATATTTATTTCTGCCTTCTTCGCGGGCTCATTCGTCAGAAATAACATATTTTGACTCCACTACACAGCATCAACAGACAAAACGTAATGGCAAATAAGTTTATTTTGGGACGGCATGGCGTGAACCAACCCTACAAAGTACGTAGAGTGACAAAGTATTGGACGAAATGACAAATGAAAGCTACTAGAGCCCAAGAAACTTGGAGACTGAAAGCCTTTTTTCTAGGTCATCATCGGTAGGCGTCCTTGGCTAGAACGGACTTTCATCGGCCGAGCCACTGAAACACACTGTCACAAACCCCATTATAAGCAGCGAAGGTGGCCCCTCACGAACGCAAGGAAT